TGATAGGCACAACCTTCCTATAAATTCTTGTTCTTTCATTTGTGTATCTACTGAAGAGGACACTAGTAGGGGGGTCAAAATATACAGAGCAATTAGTTTTCTGAGTTTGTCTCTACGTGGGTTATATAATATTTACAAGCAGGATTATACATGGAGATAAATATATATCTATGTTTATTGAGTTTATTTTATGAATTAAAGTATACTTGACTGATGAACCGGTTCTACCCAGCGTTAATGACCCACTGTAAATTTGATAAGCTTTAAACCTAAGTAATCAAGTAAGTGTATATATTTTTTAAACAAAAGTGGGTACACCAGCAGTCCTGCTAGCCTATCATATGCTGTACAGTAGTTGCATGTGATAGCTTCCCTGTCATACTGTATCACACAGGTTGAGTTACGTAGACGAGGTAATGAAAGTTATCACCGCGAGCCAGAGTTCAGTAGCAACGAATGTATGTCAGCGGTGAAATAGTAGGATGGTGAGGTAAACTGTGTTGAGAATACCAATAATGGTATCACCATCTGAAGATACACTTGAGTTGTAATACTTTTTTTCTGGGATGCAGAAGTTAGCTAATTAACAGGTCATCATCTGGTTACAATCCGTCGGGAGGCATTTTGCCGTTTCCTGACTAACAAAACTCCACCAACAAAGTGGGTGTAGGAATTTACTCTGTAGCTGTCTATTTCTGTTCTTTGGTTAAAATGGATGAAAAATATCTAACACCAGTAAGCCAGCCCATGCTGAACGAGTTAACGGAATATCATTTGATTAAAACCCGTGTAAGGAGGTACTTGTTTCCTGTTTCTTGACCAATAAACCACAAACTACGGAACAGGTGGGGTTAGAACCCATGGCAAGTGAGTGGTCAAACTTTACGCCAGTGTGTAAGCCACTGGGCCAGCTGACTACAATGAGATTCATCCAACTAGGTACATTTATACACCATAGGGAGGTTAACACGGGCCCCATTGGACCCATGCTAACTTCCCTACGGTTTATAAATATACCTAGTTGGATGAATCTCATTGTAGCCAGCTGGCCCAGTGGCTTATACACTGGCCTGAAGTTTTGACGATTCACTCGCCATGGGTTCTAACCCCATCCGTTCCGTAGTTTGTTTACAATCGTATTATTACGACTTCGTGAGTCATAATAAACCACCAACAGCAGGGTCAGGGAGGAAGGAGAAAATGGGTGACCTGCTGGTATTCGCTCATCACTAGCCGACGGTGGCAGTTGACCTGACAACGGGGTCGTAACCACCAGGGTTGTGATATATCTTTGGCATACTCTTTCCTCACATTCTCCTACGCACTGAGAAACAGACAACCTCGAGGACAGTGACAGCATATCAGCAAGTGCTTAGTTGCTAGCGCACTCACCTCACAGGTAAAACACTTTGACGTCAGTGGTAAAACACTTTGACGTCAGTGGTTCGATTCCCGATACGGGTGAAAATATTAGGACACCTGTGTCCCTGTTCGCCTGTCAGTAAAATAGGTATCTGGGTGTTAGTCGGCCAGTGTGGGTCGCATCCTGGGGACAAAATTGACCAAATTTACCCTAAATGCTCTGCATAACTAGGAGGCTTTCTGTATAGTAGTATGTTATTGATGTCAGGTAGGCCTGTATATGTTGTACATGCACTTGTAGAAAAAAATATTATTTATTATTATTATTATTATTATTTAGTTAACTGATTAATCAGCAAGTGGCCTATGGATTAACTAGATTTATATAATTAGCTGATTTATATCAGTAAGTGATCTATAGATAATGTAACCAGATTTATGTAGTTAACTGGTTAATAAAAATTAATAAAGTTGTAATATACTTTGCTTTTCTGGCTCCGAATAGCTATGATTAAAATTAGTGTACCTGAAGGTCACGTTTTCTGTAGCGTCATCATCCAACATGACAACGAAAAATATGCCCAGTGATCTATGATGTTCCGTGCTAAGTCCTGTTTTTATTTAAGATGCTTGAAGCCACCTGCACCCCTGGCAGACCACCTGATGATTTCCTGATCTGCTAGACTGTTTTTGTAGTTTGTATTCTGATGTAATCACAACTGCCCGGGTGATGGTGCTGCTAATAGTATTGTGGTGTGAACGCACAGCAGCCAGGTTGTAACACTCTTAGTGTTACTGATCTAGATTTTGGAGCTTTAAAGATCCTTAAATTGTATCATCATTAGGCTTAATACTATCCACTATGATAATATCATAATTGGCTTGATTAACATCTCTTATTTGGAAATCTTGGTATCCAACCTTTAATTTTGATATTTCCTGTTTTAAAAGTTCAGTTATGAAGCCTATCATTGTGGTGCCGCTGTGATAGTAACATTGTGTTGCCTTATTACCTTGAGGAGGTTGGGAGTTGCCTTGATGCTAGTGAACACCTCATGATCCAAGGATTTTTTTTTATATCTACCCGCCCTGTCCTTGGATCAAGTATGATTACCTCACATTCCCCAGATACTGTATGACCTCTGCGGGTTCAGCATTCCTCCGTAAATAATATATTATCTGCGGTTTTAGCGCTTTAGCGTTAGCCTGGTGGCTAATGCTCTCGCTTCACACGGCGAGGGCCTGGGTTCCATTCCCAGCCAGAGTAGAAACATTGGGCGTGTTTCTTTCCACCTGTTGTCTATGTTCCCCATCAGTAAAATAGGTACCTGGGTGTTAGTCGACTGGTGTGGGTCGCGTCCTGGGACACTGACCTAATTTGCCCGACATGCTGAGCATAGCAAGGGACTTTCTATATAGTAGTATATCATTGATGTCAACTAGGCCTGTATACCTTGTACATGTACTTGTAGTAAATAAAGATATTATTATTATTATTATTATAGTGGAGTGTTTTTTTTTTCGAAGATCTAATATGCTTAGTCCAGGTTTTTTACATTTGGATTCTGATTTATCATATAGTTTGATTAAATTTTGTATTGTTCTTAACAATCTTGCTATTGTTTTGAAAGAATCTTTTTGTTTATCCACCAAAAATTATTTAGGCCTCTCACGGAGGGTCACAATATTTTTTTCTAGGTTTCAGTTTATAACCTGAGAAACACCTCATCCAATCGGCTTCAGATTTTTCATTGGTGGTCTACTGTAACTTGGGAATGGTTCTTGATTTTTCGTCTCCATGTGATAGTTTGAGAAAACCTATTTAATGACTGATGCATCTTAGAAAAAATATGATAATGTATTCGATTAATATCTAGGTGCAAAGTTGGCATTTTCAAATTATTGTTAATAAACTCGGAATTGTTGCATCTCGTTCGAGAACTGGGGAATACCTTTTCCGGTCAGCTTCAAACTTTTGGTATTGTCTGCTTTTCCAAAAAAAAGTTTGCATTGAGTTTAAATTGTATTAGTTTTATTTTGTCGGTTTTACTAAACAGATTTTTTATGTAATGGGAGAATGTCTCTTCGTATTGACTTGAAACCGTTAATGTTGGTGTATGTTAGAAATTTTGCTAATTGAAGAAATTTTTGAAATTGAAATATTTGTTTTCATTCATTAGTTTGTAAATGTTTCTTGCAGTCGACTTCAGAACTTCAATGGCATTAACTTGATAATGTAACCTTATTAAGAGCGGCTTTAAGCTTAAGGTGTTAGTATATTTTTTTTATATTGATCTCTGCGTTAATTAGAGAATGTTTATTCCGATTGGTCTTAAAGTTTCTAAGCTGATATATCTTAGTGAAAGGTTTAGATTGCTCTTGTGGTGTTAGGATAGGCACCTACCCATCCTAACAGCCATGAACTTATCCCTAGTTACACTACCTGTATTTTTTTTTATTGTCATTTTGCCATTTTATTGTAACTGGCTCTCCTGATTTGCTTCAAATCTTCCATATTATTATTTAACTGCATTCAGAAGCATATAGCCCACTGTTGTTTATTTTCCGTGCATTTAGGTTGAGGAGGACTGGGCTTCCGGGATACTGGGATACCTTTCACAGACCGAAACAAAGAGTTTGTTTACTGCTGCCTCTTCACTAGAAGGTGTCTGGCGTCGTTATGGTTGTATGACATCAAGCAGTAAGAATGTAAGCCAGTTATTCTGACACATGCCAGTTTATCGCTGCTATGCTAAAGATATAACTGTTCACGTGCAGAAGCTTTTCATGTCAAGCATTTCCGCTGCAGTCCTGTTGTCTGCTACTGTTTCCTCCAACAATCTATGCTTTCACCAACCTTAAGAGGTACATAAGTTTCTCCGTCTTCTAATAACATGTTCATTTTTCCACTATAATCTACCTTGTCCATAATTACTATCACATTTGCTTTGTCTATTTCGTAAAGTGAAGTCCAGGATCTTTTTTTAATTCATGGTATAACTTAAATCTTTGAGGACAATTGTGTTGTCGAGGTCTACAAAGATTTGTTAAGTTATACCATGAATTAAGGAAAGATCCTGGACTTGACCTTACGAAACAGACAAAGCAAATGGGACAGTAATTTTGGACAAGTTAGATTATAGTGCAAAAATGAACATGTTATTAGAAGACGGGGAACTTAGGTGCCTCTTAAGTTTTTTTAGTGAGACATTGTATTGTACTTTGCTGTGCTGTTGTCGTGTAATATTTTCTTTGTACTGTTATATTACTGAAAAAATCTGTACCAAGTACACCATTCAAGGGTTTTTCCTTGATGCTGATGAGGGGATCTTGTCCTCTTGCTTGAATAAATCGTTATTGTCTTTCATGCCTCTGGAGCTCTATAAACCCTACAGGTTTAGCTCTTTCCCCGTAATATGATCTATTTGTGCTATTGTTTGTGAATACATCAGTGGAATGTAGAGTGGTGTGAGCCAGGACATGAGAGGTCACCACGGGAGAGAAAATGTTGAAGGTTAACCTGACTAGACCTATGTCAAGTAGGTGCAGTCAACACTGCCTGCTGGCAGGTGTCTCACCTTCACACACAAGCAGTTAGTATTTTCTCACAAATATAAGTCAGAATAATGATCATACAGTTCTCTCCCTTCAGATGTCGTGTGTTAACTTACCTGTGAAAATGTTTGAAAAGAACGTAACAAAAGTGTAGTAGCTGCCTAACTGTTTAAGGTTCTGCAAAATCGTAGCATAACTTTCAAATGTCAGATCTCTTTTATATATGTGAAAGTGTTTGAAAATAACATAGAAATATTATAATCCATGACGTGTTGTGTTATGACAAAATAAAGTTACCAGAGATATAACAGAAGAGAACAAGTATTAATTATGAAAAACCAGTATAATATACAGGAAGGAGAATGTAGATACGCCTCTTAAGACTTCCTGGAGATAGAACACAAAGTCTGGAGAACCTTCACTCCATGAACATGAAGAACAACAACAGCAACGGACGGAGCAGGAGTGGGAGCAACCGCAGTGGGAGTGGGAGCAGTGGAAGAAGTGTGGGAGGCCGGAGTAGGAGTGAAGGAAGGAGGGACTCCCACATGACTCTTGATACACTCTGCCCCTACGAGGAAGGAGACGGCAGCGCTATCTTTAAGAGGTAAGTGAGGGAAAGGACTTGTTGAGGGGAGGGTGAGGAAGTGACAGTAGAGGGTTGAAAGTGAATGAGGGAGAGGTGGTGTTGAGGGGAGGGTGAGGAAGTGACAAGAGAGGGTTGAATGGCGTACTGCCTCCAGCAGTAAAGAGCAAGACAAAAGCAGCAGAACAAGGTTTTATTGAGACAACGTTTCACACTAAGGAGAGCTTTCTTAGGTTATGACTTGAAAGAGCTCTCTTTAAGGCCTCAGTATTGTCCCACTGTAATAATGCACTTAGGGAACACTAAAACATTTTCTGATAATCTACAAGTGTTTTTATTACACTTTGTAAGTGTACATGTGCTAGGTTCCTGTAACCTGATTACCTACCATTTTCAAGGCGCTGTATGATCCTTACAGGTTTAAGGGGCACGTCAGTTCCCCTGTTTCCTAATATCCAGTTTATTTTTCCCCTGATATTAGGAGTCAGGGAAACTCACGCGTCTCTTAACTTTTCCACCATGAATGTATATTAATGATAAGTAGACCAGTAGACCTATGGCAGTTCTCTTGTTTCTTTTCTTTTCTTGTGAAAGGGAATGGAAGTGCAGCAGAGAAACTGTTATTGAACGAAAAGGTGAGGCAGGAAGGAAAATGGAGATAATGAATTGAAGGACGTTGAAGTGAAGAATGGATCAGTAGTAATCCATTTGCAAGTAAGTAAAAACTTAGTTGGAAAAGATCAGTAGAAAAGATCGCATTTTCCAAAGGCTTAATATTTTTTTATTGACATAAGAACATAAGAAAGAAGGAACACTGCAACAGGCCTACTGACCCATGCGGAGCAGGTCCATCCCCCCCCCCGGATTAGACCAATGACCCACCCCCCGGATTATCCCAATGACCCACCCAGTCTCGTCATCTCCACTCAAGGATGGAGCACTGCACCAGACCCAGCAGCACAAGCTAGTCAGGTCCAACTCACACCCACCCACACCCACTTGTGTATTTATCTAACCTATTTTTAAAACTACACAACGTTTTAGCCTCAATAACTGTACTCGGGAGCTTGTTCCACTCATCCACAACTCTATTACCAAACCAGTACTTTCCTATATCCTTCCTGAATCTCAATTTTCCAACTTGAAACCATTGCTGCGAGTTCTGTCTTGGCTGGAAATTTTCAGCACACTATTTACATCCCCTTTATTTATTCCTGTTTTCCATTTATACACCTCGATCATATCCCCCCTAATTCTACGCCTTTCGAGAGAGTGCAGATTCAGGGCCTTCAGTCTATCCTCATAGGGAAGATTTCTGATACATGGGATCATTTTTGTCATCCTCCTTTGTTCGTTTTCCAGAGCATTTATATCCATTCTGTAATACGGTGACCAGAACTGAGCAGCATAGTCTAAATGAGGCCTAACCAAGGATATATAGAGTTGAAGAACAACCTGAGGACTTCTATTATTTACACTTCTAGATATGAAGCCAAGAATTCTGTTAGCTTTATTGCGAACACTATTGCACTGTTGTCTTGGTTTTAGGTTACTGCTAACCAGAACTCCTAAATCCTTTTCACAATCAGTAGTATTAAGATCTACATTATTTAGTTTATATGTGGCATGGTTATTTAACTGTCCAACATTTAGAACTTTGCATTTGTCAATATTAAACTGCATCTGCCACTTCTCCGACCATTGTGTCAGTCTATTCAAATCATCCTGGAGTGCTCTAATGTCCTCATTAGAATGAATTGGACGGCCTATTTTGGTGTCATCAGCAAATTTGCTTATGTTGTAAGTTTGTAAGTTTGATTAGGTTGTCCTAAGATATCTTAGGTGAAGTTAGATTAGAGTTTGTTGTAAGTTAGGCTAGAGTTTGTTCATTAGGTTAATATGTGTTAAGTTAGGTTAAGTCTGATCTGGAGTAAGTAGGCTTGTGAAGCATCTCTCGTTTTTGTGACCTCTTCTCATAACTTTTTTTCCTTAGTTTTGTTTTCCTGTATATTGTTTTCCTTGAACCGGAAGATCGCTGCACAGAAGTGGGGGGGGGGAGAGGGACGGGGAAAGAGATTCTAGATGATAAATTTTTTCGAATGCTTGAAAATTCCTTGTTTACTAAGCAGGTTTCAGATAAGAGAAGCTTCATTAACAAGACTGCCAAAATCAGTCAGCTTCATCGAATTCTGTACAACAAACTACCACAGTTAACTGAAATGTGTCTGGCTCAAAATTTCAGTGGGACTGAGCGAAGCTTCACTTAGCCGAATTCCTAATTAAAATTCCCTTAACGTCTTAATTTATTTATCATGAAGATCAGCTGGTGCGGGTCCTGATCATATGATGAGCTGGTCATTGTACACCCAACTGCGGTTAACAAAAGCTCTCAAGTTAAAAGAAACTTGGCAAGACCCGTAACACTGGTAGCGGATAATTCGAATATTTCGTCCATTAACCGAGATAAGGTGAATTAAGGTCAGAGGGGCAATATATTGAGCTGGTTTGTAAATCAGAAGTAAGTCGATCCTCTTTCGTGGGGATATATAGATATAAAAAGACGGTGCTGGGTTACGATTTCAAAGAGCAGAGAGAAGGTGGAGGTTATTTGGGCATCTAAAAAAGATGGAACAGAAAATAAATACATATAATTTTTTTTATCACAGCGGCTGTCTCTCACCGAGGTAAGGTGACCTGAAAAGGAAGCTCTTACGGTCATTCATTCAATTACTGTCTTTATAAAAGCGTGCCGACATCACAGCTCAGATGACCCTTCGAACTACAACATCCCGCCTTCAGAGTGCGAGCACTGAACTTTCCTCCTCAAGCACTCTTTAAGTCCAACCAGTCGATTTTCCATGAATCTTCTCATAAATGTTACTTTGCTTCACGTTCCACCAGCACCACTTACGTTCACTCTGATCTAACAAGCCCACGCAAACCTGTTTGATGTCCAGCCCATAGCGCTCGGAACCCCCCTTAACCCCTTCCCTCCAACCATTCCTGGGATGACCCCTATCACTCTTTCACTCCACCTCAGATTTATGTGCCCTCCTAGTGATTCTATTTTGCTCCAGCCCCTTTGAATGTCTAAACTTCCTCAGCAATCCTTCCTCAGGGCTCTGAATAATACTTTTGGTAACCCTGCACCTGCTACTCTCCAAGCTCCGAATTCTTTGCATAATATTCATACCACACATTGCCCTCAAGCATGACATCTCCACTGCTTCCAGCCGCCTCCTACTATAACATCCAAAACCCATGCTTCACACCTACATATGTTAGTGTTGGTGCCACTGTACTGTAATATATTTCCCATTTTGCCTCCGTGGATAAAGATCCGTTTCCACAGATGCCTCGGTGCACCACCCACCTCTTTTTTACCTTCGTCAGTTCTACGGTTCACCTCATCTTTCATAAACACATCTGCCGACAAGTCCATTCCCAAATATCAAAACATTTACATCCACTATATTCACTCCCTTCAATCTGATATCCTTCTTTTCATTACCTAGAGTTTTTGCGCAAGTATATAAGGCTGGCGCTTATATACTGGCGTCAGGTGAAAAGGGGACGGGTAGCAGACGAAGGCAATGTCATTGGTCGGCGGGATTAACCAGTGGAAGTAAGTCATACCCGAGGGACGGGTTAGTAGTATTGAAGAATGTTGTGGAGATGTCCTCTGAACCAAGATTCTATGATGTTGCAGTGTCTGACACCTTGTATATGAATGGTATACAATACCGACAAGATGAAAATTAGACACATGTGCAACATCTGGGTATCTTTATAGTAGATGTTTCGCCATCCACCTGACGCCAGTATATAAGCGCCAGCCTACTTGCCTGTGCTCCAGACTCTTCACGACTACGGTGCTCTTCACACCAACTCCAAGGCTGAGGGACTGATTACCTCATCTTCTGCATATAGTTTTTCTGTCTTCCAATTATGTCCATGAATTTGTCTTTATAAAGTCACTGGATGGCAAAACGTCTACAGTAAAGATACCCAGATGTTGCACATGTGTCTTATTTTCATCTTGTTGGTATTGTATACCATTCTTGTACACAAATAGCTCAGTACACGTACACATACACACGCACTCACGCTCGCACGTTCGTGTGTAGATGCACACGAGAGAGAGAGAGAGAGAGAGAGAGAGAGCATGGTTCTCAGTTCGGCTCTGCTTTTAGGCTTTTTTTTTTTGGAAAATGTCCAAAAGTTTGCAACCAGACTAGTGCCTGAGCAGAGGGACGCCCTGTGAAGAGCTCCGAAGAACCGAAACAGATGATCTTGACATAGAAGAGGACTATAGGAAACACCCTTTCCATGTGTGTAATCTTAAGAGAAATTGATAAGGCCTCCGTCACATGACCATAAGGTCAGTGATGGTAATGGAGGTAATGATCTTGTGATGGCCAGATATATATATATATATATATTATATATATAATATATATATATATATATATATATATATATATATATATATATATATATTTATATATATATATATATATTATATATATATATATATATATATATATATATATATATATAAGAGAGAGAGAGAGAGAGAGAGAGAGAGAGAGAGAGAATTGCTTAAAAACATAAATATGTCACAACGAAGGAAAGATAGTCTTAGCCGAGAGATCACCGAATTAGAGCAAAAACTTGGGATGTCATACCTCACAGAAGAAGTACAAAGGGAACACAAGGACATCCAGGATATCACAAGAAAGCCAAAATATTTTTATATGCAAAATCCAAACTAAGAACTACCTGTATTATCGGACCAATAATCAGAGGAGCCTCGTATACTGACGATGAACAGTGTGAGTCGGTGTTCAACAACCCGCTAAATGACAACAACGTAGAGAATGCGGAAACATTTTTCACTGCAGCTGAAGGCCGCGTAGATCAACTAACATTAGTACTAGTCTCACAGATTTCGAAAAATAAATGGATAACATGCCCACTCACTCAGCACCTGGATCAGATTTATGGAATACCTTGTTTAT